ACTAATGGAAGTTGTGGCCTAGAGTATTTGCTTCAAAATTATCTGAAAATCTTCCATTCTAATCATTCACATAACACCATAGTGTTACATGTATGTCCTGTGTTTCCCCCTGTTTAGTATATTTGGTTCAGTCCTGTTTCCAGTTTCCCGCTCCTCGTTTGTGTTCAGTTCATTCACCTGTTTCTAGTTAATTTGCCCCAGCTGTGTCTTGTTCCCATGATCCGTTCTCTGTGTATGTAAACCCTGTGTTCTCCCTCACTCCTTGTCGGTTCTCGTTTGTGTATGGTGCGTTAATGTTGAGTGTGTTATATGGTTCCTGAGTTTTTGTCTATTAAATCCTGTTTTCCTGGTATCCTCGTCTCCTCGTGCTTCCAGCCATACACCATCCGTAACAGAAGAACCGACCAAAAAAAAAAAAAAAAAACAACGATGGATGCGGCAGTGCAGCTGATCTTGCTGGAACAGGGCCAGCTATCTCTCGAGGCCCACACCGCGGCTTATCTCGACCTGGCGTGCCTAACCTCCTTCCCCGATCTCTCATTGAGTGTTTTTTTTCATACTGGCCTCAATGTAGAGACAAAGGCACGCCTGCCCGGTGTGGGACCTCGAGAGAACTTCGAAGCATTCGTCGAGTGGGTCCTGTCTCATAATGGGTCTCCGTTCACCGTTGGGCTCTGCGACACCCACGAAGAGGAAGCCACCCTACCAGAGCCAGTTCACGTCACGCTAACCAGCAGGCCAACTACTGGATCAGTTTATGGCCGTCCAGGGCTGATTTCCTGCGTGGCCGATCCCCCGCTGATGTCAGCGCGTGCTGCCAAATGGGCCATCGTCCCGGAGTCTCGTCCAGCCTGAGTCACGTCTCGCCGAGACCGTCCAGCCTGAGTCTCGTCCCGCCGAGACCGTCCAGCCTGAGTCACGTCTCGCCGAGACCGTCCAGCCTGAGTCTCGTCCCGCCGAGACCGTCCAGCCTGAGTCTAGTCTCGCCGAGACCGTCCAGTCTGAGACCGTCCAGCCTGAGTCTCGTCCCGCCGAGACCGTCCAGCCTGAGTCTCGTCCCGCCGAGACCGTCCAGCCTAAGTCTCGTCCCGCCGAGACCGTCCAGCCTGAGTCTCGTCCCGCCGAGACCGTCCAGCCTGAGTCTCGTCCCGCCGAGACCGTCCAGCCTGAGTCTCGTCCCGCCGAGACCGTCCAGCCTGAGTCTCGTCCCGCCGAGACCGTCCAATCTGAGGCTCATCCTCCCGAGCCCTCTTCGCTGCTGGTCCTGTCCAGCCCAGAGCCGTCTTCGCCGCTGGTTCTGTCCAGCTCAAAGTCCTCTTCGCCGCTGGTCCTGTCCAGCTCAGAGCCCTCTTCGCCACTGGTCCTGTCCAGTCCAGAGCCGTCTTCGCCGCTGGTCATGTCCAGCCCAGAGCAGCCTGCACCACTGGTTCCGTCCAGCCCAGCCAAGCCTGCACCACTGGTTCCGTCCAGCCCAGCCAAGCCTTCTCCGCTGGTTCTGTCCAGCCCAGAGCAGCCTGCACCACTGGTTCTGTCCAGCCCAGCCAGGCCTGCACCGCAGCTTCACGTCCCCTGCCCGCCTGCGCCTCCCTGCAGCCCTGCCGAGCCTGAGCTTCCCTGCACGCCTGCCGAGCCTGAGCTTCCCTGCATGCCTGCCGAGCCTGAGCTTCCCTGCACGCCTGCCGAGCCTGAGCTTCCCTGCACGCCGGCCGAGCCAGAGCCTTCTCCGCTGGTCCCGTCCAGCCCTTCTGAGCCTTCACCGCTGGTTCCATCCAGCATAGCCGGGCCTTCACCGCTAGCCCAGCCAGAGACTTTCCATGTCCCGTCTGCCCACCCTGAGACTGTCCACGTCCCAGAGCCTGTCCCAGAGCCTGTGATTCCCCCCAAGAAAGTTTTGGGGGGGGGATATAGATCACCTGAATATGCGTCTCCGCCATGGCCGCCCGAAAGGGATTCTCCGCCATGGCCGCCCGAAGGGGATTCTCCGCCATGGCCGCCCGAAAGGGATTCTCCGCCATGGCCGCCCGAAGGGGATTCTCCGCCATGGCCGCCCGAAGGGGATTCTCCGCCATGGCCGCCCGAAGGGGATTCTCCGCCATGGCCGCCTGAGAGAAAGTCTCCGCCCTGGCCTCCTGCTCCGCCCTGGCCTCCTGCACGTCCTGCTCCGCCCTGGAGGCTTCCTGCTCCGGGTAGGCCACTCCCTCGTCAGCCTCCAGGGCGCCCACCCCTCCACCCTTATTGATGTTACTCGGCGCGAGGACGCGCCTTGCAGGAGGGGGAGCTAATGTTACATGTATGTCCTGTGTTTCCCCCTGTTTAGTATATTTGGTTCAGTCCTGTTTCCAGTTTCCCGCTCCTCGTTTGTGTTCAGTTCATTCACCTGTTTCTAGTTAATTTGCCCCAGCTGTGTCTTGTTCCCATGATCCGTTCTCCGTGTATGTAAACCCTGTGTTCTCCCTCACTCCTTGTCGGTTCTCGTTTGTGTATGGTGCGTTAATGTTGAGTGTGTTATATGGTTCCTGAGTTTTTGTCTATTAAATCCTGTTTTCCTGGTATCCTCGTCTCCTCGTGCTTCCAGCCATACACCATCCGTAACACATAGATTGCTTTAAATTGTGAAAAACATTTTTTTTGTTTGAAAGGCAATATGCGAATGGGCGTGAACGCCCAACCCCCTCATGTATAATTAGGTGATTCTCACCTGAGAAGACAAAGATGCATTCATTTCATTCAGGTGTGTCACAAGAAAGAATGCAAGGAAAATATATATACATATATACACACACACACACAGACATATATATATATAAAATCAAAATATAAATGAAAGTCAAAAGCACATTTTTAGTCATACCTGGAAACAAATCCTGTTCAAATAGGTTATATTGGCCATTCAATAGAATTGGTTCAGTTAGAGTTGGAAACATCTTGAAAAGAAAATGGTCTTTTTCCATCTCATAAAATATTATTTTTAAAAGTATGCCAATACATTTTTTATAATACATATTTCAAAGTTAAGGATTCATTATTTTGATATAGCCTAGCTGGAACAAACACTATAACAATTGATAAGTTTATTTTTGACAAAACATACTATATATTTAACATATGAGCAGAAACTGCTAACAAAAGCTTATTTGATGTCTATTTTAGAGTTAAAACTTTATAATCGATCCTAAACTAGTCAAACACACAGAAACATGATTCAAATTTAAACAGTAGGCTATTTTTGCGTTTACAGACACTAAACGTTATTCTATATCGCGATTAGAACAAAGCACAAGAATAAAACACTTACAGTTCAGCTCGCTTCTCGAAGTGAAAATAAACCAGCACTTGTTCTGAGGTAGATAAATGTCCCAGGATTATTCCTCACAGCCGCGCCAAACGACAGTACATTAATCTGACTAAATAAAGTGTGTTTACAGAGTTTGTATGGGCGTTTTACATGTCTCAATGTGTTGCTTCAGATCATTAGCGTTTGAATAGCGCGCGCTCTCCGTGGGCGTGTCACATTAGGAAAATAATGAGCTGAGAGAACGATAATGAGAATGGCTGACACATCTCTCTTTTTATATATAGATTACATAAACAGGGAATATTTATTTTAGTTTTAAATTAGATAATTTAAAAGTACAAACTTAAATGATCATAAACATATATTGCTCATGTCTGGGTGAATAGTATTAGCTGAGTTTTTTTTAAGTTTAGAGACGTGCTCCAGAAAAAAAGTTCACGGACACGGAGAGGCAGAACGCACACCCTGTTTATTTTCTTTATTTTACAAAAGCACAATATATTATTTCGATTGTAGGTGGGCACATAAAAAAGTATACATTTAACAGTTTTTTTAAAAGATGTTTCATAACTCTGTATGACCAGAAATTATGGAGTAATTTAAGTCTATTTTTCTGCTATGTGAAAAAAATCTCCCAAAACGCACGGGTGCGTTCTTGGTCCCCATAGGGTTAATCAGCAAATAGATCTGTGTATCGTCCGCATAAAAATGGAAAGAGACACCATGCCTTCTTAGAATTGGGCCTAGAGGAAGCATGTATAGAGAGAAAATCGAGGGAGATAAAATAGAGCCCTGGGGAAGTCCGGTTTCAATGAGAGAAGCAGAGGAGGTGAAACTGCCAATCCTGACTGAAAAATCAGTTAAGTAGGATTTAAACCATTTTAAGACTGAATCTTTCAGCCCCAAATCTTTTGATCTAGATAAGAGCAGTGAATGATTGACAGTATCAAAAGCTGCAGATAAGTTTAAGAGAACCAGAACCACAGGGTCTCCAGCATCAGTAGCAACTAAAATGTCATTTAACACTCTCAGCAAAGCAGATTCTGTGCTGTGAAAAGACTTAAAACCAGGCTGAAAAATTTCAGAAATATTTGACTTATTTAGAACTACCTATTTAATTCTTTAATTGCAGGTGATGTGATCGTCCAACAGTTTGAGAGCTTTCTCACTGTTGAGGCTAGAAATGAGCGTTTCCTCTCCTTTCAGCCACTGCAGCAGCGGATTGACGTGTTCTTGCACTCAGCAAGTCTTACCCTGAGTTGTCAAAGTTCTGTCAGAGCCTTCTAATTCTCTCCCATGGACAAGCCACAGTAGAGAGAGGATTCTCAGTCAACAAGCAGGTCGAAACCGGCAACATCCTTGAAGAGTCGATGGAGGCTCTGAGGTTGATTTGCGACCAGGTCAGTGCCTTTGGGGGCGTTCTAAAGGTACCTCTGACCAAGGAGGATTCACTTGGAACAAGAAAGGAAGAAGAAAGAGACTACCAGACAGAGCCTCAAGAGGAAAGAAGCTGAAGACGAGTTAGAAGTTTTGAAAAAGAAGAGAAAAGTCTTAAGAGAGGTGTGCGACACACTGCAAAAAGATGCAGATCAGCTAGCAGAGCAGGCAGAGGGAAAATCTGGGTAATTAATGGCCCAACTGATCACCAAATCCAACACCTTGAGGAGAAGACACCAAGAAAAACTCAATGATCTGGAGTAAATTAAAAATTTTATTGAAAGCAAATCAAATGAACTTAGGCACATGTCAGGAGTTTGAATCAGTATATTATTCAGTGTTGCTCTTTGTTAATGCATATTTTAATACAACTTTGCCTTTGCTTTAATTTATTATTTCTAGCTTGGTTTCTTCTGAGCTTATCTGAGTTCTGTTGTATGGTTGTGCTCTATTGATTTATTTTCAAACTACAACTGTTTATAATAGTTTGCCTTACTGAACAGGACCATTGGATGAAAGGATGATCCTTTTTTTGTTGTTGCAGGTTTGTATGCTTTCAAATCTTCTGGAAGCACTTCTCCTGTGGAAACCTTACTGATAATCTCTGCCTTCTTCCTGACTTCTATCAAAGCCTGAATGCGATTTTGAAATCCATGCTTGGCTTCTTGTTTCTCAGACTCAATCATCAGATTAATGTAATCAGGGGTGGACAGAGGATTGGGCTTGAGGGCGATTTCCTGCAGCCGCTGCAAAGACATTTGAGATCTTTCAATTAGTCTGGTCACAATATCCTGGACAACCTCAAGCTCCTTTTCAAGCTCTTCAAAGATCTTCTCTTTTGACATGACCTGTCCATGTGCAGCCTTAAATCGCTTTTTTAAATCCTGATAGGTTTCCTTTCTCTTTTCTGGGACATAAGTCCATTTGTATTTCTGATTGAAGTGCACAGTCCAGGGACACTTTCCTGGACAGACCCGACAAATTCCATCTGTCATGGCCTTGCACTTATATTTATCACTGTCATTTGGAATTTTGCATTTATTATGACATGTGAAGTGACAAGTTTGGCAGTTGGTTAAGAAGTACCCAGAATTGTTTTCGATCTTTTTTGGGACAGTTATATCTAATTCGTATTCAAAATTCTTGTTCGCATCCATTTCCGCCTTGTGTTGCTCCAGAGCAGCTCTTGTCCTCTTGATTTCATCCAGTTTTGTCAGACCAGCATTGATTTGGGGCTGAAGGCCTTCCACAAGCACTTCTAGCTCTTGCCGCTCTTTCAGGACTTCTCGTGTCAGAGACAGGCTCTTGGTTTCCATCGTTGTAAGGGATGTGAAGAACTTTCTCATGCTAGAAAATCCCAGCTTCCAGAACATTCGGTCAAAATCAGACTCCTCATCGTCTGCAGATGTGTTATTGGTAGCAAACAGAGCAGAGTTGTTGAACTTGAAGTGAAGTGGCTCTCCAGACTCATTGGTAGAACAGGGCACCTCAGAGACTTTGATGGCCTCGAGAACAGTGGGTGTTTTCCCATCTGCAAAGGTGACCATCATAAGGATGTTTTCAGCAATATCCTTCCCAAATATGGAAAGAACGGAGTCAAAGATATATTTCTGTGTGTGCGTCAGACGAGCAAGTGAAGCCTGTACTACAAAACACACAGCATCAATGCGGTCGATCCCTCCACGGGCAGAGAAGAACTCTTGAATCTGCTTTGTGATTTTCTGGTCATGTGAAATTCCTCTAGTATCACCGAAGCCTGGTGTGTCCACAATGGTCAGAGAATATGGGACCCGGAAACCATCCATGTGATTGATTTGATATGCCGTGATCTCCGAAGTTTGACTTTCAGCCTGGGATTTCTGCTTCCCTTCATCTATCAGCACAAACCGGAAGTCATCTTCCCATTGAACTCCCAGGATGTAGTTGATCATGCTGTTAATTAGAGTGGTTTTTCCTGCACCTGTGGCTCCGATCATCATGATGGTCTTGTTCTCTTTTGGAATGCTTTTCCCAAACGTGCTTCTTCTGCAGAATCCATTGCTGTTCTGCCACGTTTTATCCAGGTGGAGTTTAAACATGGGCAGGTTTTCATTGCTTCCATCTTCTATTTTCCTGCTCCTGTTGTTCTTTATATCATGTGCATCACTTAAACTTCCATTGCTGTGGTCTTTTTCCATGGTTTTGCTGCTTGTGTTTTCTCTTGATGTTTTTTTATCGTTGTTAACAGCACCTGTTTCCACCTGTGCTGCTAAAAGAAAAAGAAAATAATAGTTTGAACATCCTGCTATGAATATAGTATAATTTGTACTCACACTCTGTAAGGCTGAACTGTACCTAGACACAATTGAATGTGTTGTGTGAACAGCCTAATCTTAAAACGTATCAATAAAAACATGTTATACAGTCTGAATATTACCGGTAAGCTGTTTTTCTTAAAGCTTCCAGAAATGATGCAAAAATCATGCCAGAGATTTTTGATGTATAGAAAATCTAAATATTGATAGTGACCAAAAGCCAAGGAAAAATAAACGGATTATTCTTAGAAAATATAACTAAAGCTAGTGGTTTTCTACAGTAGCTCCTTGTGAACCTACAAACATTTCAAGGAAATCCTACAGGGAACACCTGATTTTTTTTTATGGACATGGTCTAGGATAAATAAGGGTATACATCGCCCTAATACTGGGTGTAACCCAGCACAATAGGAACTACCAGTGACATAAGTGTACATGTAAAACACCTGCACCCACCATTTTTAAAAAGCCATGTAAACACACAGGTTACATAAACTTACTCAATGAACATAGATAACGGTATTTAGCTGTTGTCTGCAATGTTGTATTTATTTATATTTTGTCAGAAGAGATTATGCATTTACATTCCATCTACATTATCAAGAAACCCACGACACACAAACACAGCTCCGATCACGCATCCTTCATCCACCAGTTGTTGACGTTTGTAAATACTTAAATGATGCCGCTGTCGGCCGAGTTCCTACTGCTGGTACTAATGCAACCAGGAACATTTTCCTAGGGGAACTTTTAGTTCTCTGGAAACCCTGGTGACTAGTAGGAACTATATATACATATACATTATATATATATATATATATATGAAAGAGTCTCTTCTGCTCACCAAGGCTGCATTTATTTTTTTAAATTGTGAAATTATTACAATGTAAAACAGCTGTTCTCTTTCATTGTTACTCAGAGTCACTGCAATCCTTATGCACGAGGGCAAGGCTGATTCAGGGCTCATCTAAGAGATGCGTGTAGCCACCGTTCTCGCTATGAAGGTGACCACATGCTCCCTGGGTCAGGTGGTGTCCACATGCGTGATCAGACATCTCTGGCCTAACCTGGATGATATGCGCGAGGCTGAGCGAACCCGCTTCCTCAACTCCCCCATATCCCAGGTTGGCCTCTTCGGCGGCACGGTCGAGGACTCTGCCCAACAGTTCTCGGCCGCCCAGAAGCAGACTGAGGCTATCAAACTTATTCTGACCCAGCGGCCAGACGCCTCAGTCCGCTCATCGCCGAACATGCCATTGTGAGTGGGCGCCCCAAATGCTTAAAGTGACAAATCATACCAGCGTACTTCGAGGTCAAAATGCTTGCCCGCTACGCAAAATGTGTACAGGTTGGCAGGTCTGCCACAGGTTGGGGCTCCATGTGCAATGGACATGCTGCCGCGGGCTCCTGAACAGGACCCCAGCGCCTTTGGCATGTCAATTGCCTCGAGTTGCTGGCAGTACGTTTGGCTCTGCACCGCTTTCGGGCCTTGCTCAAGAATCAACACGTACTGGTCCGCTCGGACAATACCGCGACTGTAGCGTACATCAACGGTCACGGTGGTCTACGCTCTCGCCGTATGTCGCAACTCGCACGCCACCTTCTATGGAGTCAGAAGCGTCTGAGGTTGCTTCGTGCTATGTACATTCCTGGAGACCTGAACCGTGCAGCCGACGAGCTCTCACGGATTCAGCCACTCTCTGGAGAATGGCGACTCCATCCCCAGTCGGTTCAGCTGATTTGGGAACAGTTTGGCGATGCACAGGTAGATCTGTTTGCCTCCCCCGACTCTTCCCATTGCAGCCTGTTTTACTCCCTGTCCGAGGGCACGCTCGGAACGGATGCACTGGCGCACAGCTGGCCACGCTGCCTCCGCAAGTATGCGTTTCCCCCAGTGAGCCTTCTCGCACAGACCTTGTGAGTGATCTAAGTGATCTTATGAACCACTGACAACTCTTAAATAACTGGTTTATAAATAATGCTATACTTCATTTAGAAATGATAAATTGATCATTAATAAAGTATGAAAATACAATTATTAAACACATTATAGATATGCTTTTAAATCAAGAATAAAGCATTTATTGCAGTATTTATAAACTGCTTATTAATGTCTATTAAAGGGCACCTATTATGGAATTTTGAAAATTACCTTTCATGTAGTGTGTAACAGCTCTAAGTGAACAAAAACAGCCTGCAAAGTTTTATATATGAAAGTTCACCGTAAAAAAAGTTATTGTCTCTCAAATGTATGAGTCGACTCTGAGTCAATTTAATGAATTGTTTTTCTAATGAGTCATTTTCCTTTTCGTTGTGACGTCAAGACGAAAAATGATCAAATTGGCCGCGCCCACTCATTGCGCGCACAGACACCAGGGAAAATTTGAAAACATCATGTCGACAACAAGACGCTGTGTTCTGAAGTGCGAATCAAAAGCAACCTTCTACTGCACAGGGACGAGCATGTGAAGAATCAGTGGCTAGAGTTTATATTTACAACTATACCACACAAGTATAGCCCGAACCTTGTGCTGTGTTTCGCGTCATTTTAATGACGATTGCTTTACAAACATACCGGTAAATGCTTTCAAGTGTGGATTCGCGAGCCGGTTGATACTGAAGGAAGGTTCAGTACCAAGTTTATTTGGATCAGCTTCCTCCTCCGAATCACAACCTCTAAGTATTATTAATAATTTTTGCTTTGATGTGTTTTGTAGCATGCTCAATAAGTATTTGTGTGTGTTGTGTAAGTTACGCTCAGCGCAGCTTCTAGGTCTCCAATGTCAATTTTTTTTAAATATGTGAAATGTTTGTCGTTGTTATTGGAGTTGTCATAAAGAATAGAGCAATACCTTGTAGTACTGCAGTGCTTTATTAATATGTTTATTCGTTGGGCTATCGCAAACAATAACTGATAGCAGATTAGCGTCACGCAAAGGAGGGGTTTGGAAAAATGAGTCGTTGAACGAATCATTTGGGAGTCGGTGAGCAAATCAGGTAAAAATAAATGCATATTATAATACAACAAAATAGTTTTTTGTCATTGCATGCATGTAAAACTGTTGTTGGGGACTCCCAAAACAATGGAACACTTTTATGATGGATGGATGCACTTTTATGGACTTTCAAATCAGAAACAACCATTCGCTGTCATTATGAAGCTTGGAAGAGCCAGGACATTTTTTAATATAACTTTGATTGTGTTCGTCTGAAAGAAGAATGTCATATACACAGAGGATGACTTCAGGGTGAGTAAATCATGGGCTGATTGTCATTTTAAGGCTGATTTATGTCCTTTAAAGGTATAGTTCACCCAAAAATTTATTTTGTCATCACTTACTCACCCTCATGTTGTTCCTAACCTGTATGAGTTTCTTTATTCTGCTGAACACAAAATAATATATTTTAAAGAATGTCGGTAACTAGACAGTTGGTGGTAGCCAACGACTTCCATAGTATTTTCCTATTATGGAAGTCAATAGCTATAGTCAACTGTTTAATTACCGACATTCTTCAAAATATTATCTATTGTGTTCAACAGAAGAAAGAAATTCATACAGGTTTTGAACAACTTGAGGAAGAGGAAATAATGACAATTTAAATTTTCGGGTGAACTATCCCTTTAAAAGCTGTTTATACCTGCAAACTGATCATGCAATGGTTTTAAATAAAATGGTTTTAATAATTTAATTTATGAATGAATAATATTTTTGACAAGAACATTGTTTGGATTGTCTTTTGTTTTGCAGTTATTCTGAAGTTGCATTATAATATTATTACCTATAGATTTATATACTGTAATAACTACATATTATATAATTCTAATATTATCATTATTAGTAATTAGAGGAATGCTAGTAACTGCAGCAACCGGGGTATTCACAAGTTTTCTTTCTACATAAAGCTATGCCCTTCTTGTTTTGTACTTTGTGCATGTGTATTGAATGTTAAATAAGTTAATAATGATAATATGACTGTTTATCATGGTGATTTGTACAGAGGCTTCATGGATTTGCACTTAACAAGTCTAAACAGACAGTGAATGAGAGATCGACTGAGCGCTGTGCGATTACCTGCGTCTGTCTGTGAGGCCAAGTCATATGTTCATGAAAAGGTTGCCGTGTCCAAGGAAAGTGATGTCTTTGTCGTATCATCCTTTTAACGTTTAAGGGTATTTCCCATGTATGGCGTCAGATGCGCTGGTCAATGCATTGAATCAATGCCATTGGTCTCTATAAAGAGAAGCACAAGCGGCAACATTCTAATCTGAAAAATGAAGCCTACCCGGAAGTGCGAAAAACTGCAATACATCGAAAATCCGCTAGGGGCAGGTCCCAAAAGGGAGCAAATGTTGTTAGACCCCCATGTTAAAATGTCCGTTTTCACAGCATAAATTCATGTTTTTACAGGTTGGTCCCATGGACTTTTATTGTATTTTTCGATAGGTTCCGAGTGCCTGACAACTGTGAGGAGGGTGAATTTTTTTCTAACTCGTTAGTTTAGATCGTATTTAGATACAAAATGTATGGCAAATAAGGGCGTGGTTAACTTTGATTGACAGCTTGATTGACAGCTGATAACAGGCTGCGCCGTGTGGAATTCCTGAAATTTGACGTCTCGGCCATGATCTGACACAACACATCATAGCACCTCTGTATCCTTTCTGAACATTTGTATTGAAATTTCGTACATAAAATGGGTTGCTCTGCTATAAACTGCACTAACCGACACTGTAGGAGGACTTCGCTCCCGCAGTCCCATACTTCTCATAACGAGAATTGAGAAAAATGCCTGTTTCTTGTGCTACTTGGGGCTGTGCAAATCGCCACACAATTGAAAACAGGTCTCGAGGAATTATCTTTCACAAGCAAGACTGAACATTTGTTTCTGGTTGTATTTGGTCATGATATAATTAGTAATAGTAATGTTCAGAGGAGAAAGGCCGCGAAATTTAAAAATAATACTGTTATCGTGTCACAAAATGTAGTTTTAATAGTTTTTCAGTCGACAATGTAGTTGTTTAAAGCTCAAATCTGTGGTTTATTTATAAAGATAGCGCCTATTTAAAAATTTGATCTGACGTTTTCGGAGTTGTGAGATCCATGGATCAGCGGGCGCTCAGCGCTCATATACCCCGCCTGGGACAGCTTTACCCCGGCTAGTGCTTCTGACGTGTGCTGCTGGTTCTGATGTCTCTAGGCTAGTGGTTAATCATGAGATATAATTCTGCCAGTCGATCTTGTAATGTTACAGATAGCTAAGGCTGCTTGGCTGAAGAGCATAGACTTTAAAAAATAGCTGAAGAGGCACGGCCGCGGCTCAGTCTCACACAAAGCCCGCCCTTTTACCCATATATAGATTGCCAGAAGGTGGGCGGGGTTAGGATTTCCCAAGATTTTCCAAGATGGCGCCGCCCATACCCCCCATAAACAGCTTCAAAACTGTTCTTCAGAAAGTCTATGGGTGACGTCACAGACGCTTTGTCCATATTTTTTTACAGTCTATGGAGAAGCATCAGCTTCAGCGTTAAGCCACCTTTCCACTGCACACGACAAACGACAGCCGTCGGACCGGAAGTCATTCATTTCCAATGGAGAGTTGTACTGGAGCTGCGGGGAGTTCCGATCATATGCGTATGCGGAAAATTCGGATCCGATTTGAGCTTTGGATCCGTTGAAATATCTGAACTTCTGCGAATCAGTGTTGCCAACTCTTTTCAAAGTAGCCAAGGCCTTCCCTAAAAGTCGCTAAATGTCGTTAGATGACGTCATACGCTAATTAGCATATTCATGACGCCATCGCGTAATACTTGTGTTCTGCCTGCCTAATGTGTTTTCTCTCTAAATTCATGCTCACATACTGTATTTTAATATAATATAACATAATATAATATAGCCGAATGTCCAATAAAGCTGTTCTCATTTCCTATATTGTCAGACAATAGAACGAGTAGCTATGATAGTGAATGACAAAAAAAATTTATGTGTAAAATTATCTGAATTGAGAGAGTTCGGGAACTGGATGAAAGCTTTGTGATAGTGAGTTACAAGTAATAAGCACAAGAAAAGAAAGGAATTAAAATGGTCAAACTAAATTCTTTAAATATAAAACAAAAGAGAAGCAGATAAGTCTGTGGAAAAACAAAAAAACTGCCGTGCGCTCAACAGAAGAATGAGCTGCTGCTCCTCTCAGCCTGCAGTCACTGAACAGGGTAGACGCAGAGAATCAGAGTGACGGCAGGGAGAAAGCAAGACCTCGCGCTCGCAGGACAGTACTGGCAACATTTGTGAGGTTACTGAGGTCTGTCCAAAAAGTCGCTAGATTTGTCGGTAGTCGTTTTTTTGAAAAAAATGTCGCTAAAGGGGTCTGAAAAGTAGCTAAAGATAGCGACAAAGGCGCTAAGTTGGCAACACTGCTGCGAATAGACCGTATGCGACCGGATGTGATGTATTCTAATCAAAACTATGAGCGCGAGGCTAGAATTACCAATATTTTAACTCTTTACATTTATCTGACGCTTTTATCAACTGCTATATATGTCAGAGGTCGCACGCCTCTGAAGCAACTAGGGGTTAAGTGTCTTGCTCAGGGACAAATTGGTGTTTCAGTGGATTCGAACCCGGGTCTCTCACAGCAAAGGCATGTGTCTTATCCACTGTGCCATCACCACCCCAGATGTTATTTTAATGTTATTAATGTTAATAACATTAAATGATATTTAATGTTCTTTAATGTTATTCTGTAAATGCTATTTCTGTAAAATATCGGTTATTAATAATTATGGCAGAATTTTTTTTTTAGAATTATTAAATCAGTATTTATATTGATTAGCTCTAAAAAACTGCTATGTTTTTATTGTAAATGTATTGAGGGTCATTTGTTTTGTGTGGATATATTCATATACATTCATTAAAATCATTCATTTTATTTTATTTTTTCATTTCCGTTCTACTTTGTTCCACTGGTGTGTGTAACTTCCTTCTACAACCCCACTTCCAGAACAGTTGGGACATTTTGTAAAATGCAATCAAATCAAGAAACTGATTAATTTTGTTAATTATATTAATTAACATTTATTTAACTGACAAATACAAAAAGAAAATAGTATGTTCTAACTTTTTTGGAGTTTGTTGCAGCCATCAAAATAAATAAATAAATATATTTACAATATACAATTATGTTGGCCAGTTAAAACATTGGAAAACTTTTCTTTGTACTTTTGTCAGTTAAAAAAAGGTTCAAGAGGATTCAAAAATCACAGATCTTGGATTTTATTGCATTTTACAAATGTCCCAACTTTTCTGAAAATGGGGTTCGTACTTCCAATTTCTTACATTAACGGATAACCTAATCAAAATCAAAATATATATATAAATTTGTTTCATACAATATCATACAAATGTTGTATTTTTGGACCATTTTTAAAGTGTTAAAACATGTTTTGTCTGAAATCCACCCTTCTGCTGGGATCTAACCAAAAGGTTTTGAACAACACAGTGAAGGTGACATACAGATTAGGGGAAATAAGTGATCGCCTAAACCTTACAAATCTAAAAATGTATGCCTACAGTTACTATATATAGTTGCTTTTTTAGCCAGAAGTGGTGCAGTGTGTATATCTCACCTTTGGTCTCTCTGCTGGACATGATGATGTTCAGTTTCTCACCGTCTCTTTCTTTAGTCTTCAGTTGATCGAGGTCTTCTCTGACTCTGGAGATCTGTTGCTTTTACTTTGGGGGATTAAATTGATTTCCTTTAGTAACAGGTCAGGGTATAAACTAACAGCAGGCGTTAACAGCACTGAGCAGGAGAGAACCCACTCTCTCTAGAGATGCATACCAAAAATGAACACACTTGAACACACTTTTACCTCCAGCGGAACTGGGGAAACCGCAGTCTTGCGACATTAACGTTCGTTTTGCAGTTTGCAGTCCTGCAGATAAGCAGTTCTTTTGTGTCCCTCTGGCAAGCAGTTTCCTTCCCTTGTGCTTCTCTGTGTGTGTGTGTGTGTGTGTGTGTCTGAGTGTGTGTGTCTGAGTGTGTGTGTGAGTGTATTTGAGGTACATTCAATTCCGTATTAAAATATTCCACTTCAATTTCACAAGTAAGGGTTAATGCCCGACGAGGTGTCCATTGTCAGGTATTAATGGACGACGGCGAGGCGTAACCGTTCGACACGCAGCTTGTTTGTAAAGTTTTTACAAACAATAATAACTTGGTTTCCCTGGTTACACCAGAACTCCTTCACTAGGTGTCCTCTATCACTTTTTAATGGACACCCTGCAGCCAATCAGAATCGAGTATTCATCCAGACCATGGTATATACAGTATATGACTATAAAATATGTGTTAAATGTTGTATTGCCTACTAATCTGGATATGAAATCTTCTGTTCAATCCCTCAAGCTGGTACCTCTTCTAAATAATTTACATGTTGAAGAGAAAACTGATAAAATTGAAATCTTTATGGACGATCTTTTAGTTGACGACTCCAGAAAGACCACGCCAGAGAACTGCACAAAGCCCAGAAGAAGGAGAAGAAGGCGAGGACTCATCTTCCCTGGGACGAGCTGATCTGGCAGAGAAAACACATGATGAGGAGCATCAGGCAGATGGAGAAATAAACAAACCATTGTTACATGTTGTAAGAGGGTTTATTCTAGAAAGTCAGTTTAAATGTCCTAATTGTGAAATGTCAGGTTTGCAGAAGAAGCTTGCTTCGCTAGAAGCCTGATGTACGCTTGCTTTACAACCTAAGTGTTTGTGGTTTCCGTTTCTCTGAATAAGACCGACGGTTCAGCAGAAGTTACCTTCAGCACAGAGAGAAAGAAGAAGCCCCTCTGTGAGGAGGCCAGAGGCGGGATGTGGTTTAACAACTGCAGGGGAAAGAGTTAAGAGTATATTAAGCTTTTTAGGCATAGATGGCAAAATATGAGATATGTATATGTGCTAATAGCATTATAGCTTGAACTGTGTGTAACCATGTTGAAATATATTCATTAGAATAATATATACAAGTTTGATTAAATAATTTCATAGTTTAATAAATAGAATGTAAGGTTAAAAAGTTAAGATTCATTGACCAGCAATGAGTTTATGATTTTGTTCAATGAGAGAAATGCATATTGGGTAATGTTCATGGTTTACTGACTACAGCATTTAAAAGGTTAAATATTTGTTGTGTAATAATATATGTGAAAATACTTTAAATATGCCTGTAAGCAAGGTGCGATTTGCGGGGGGGGGGATGCGTGGGATTTCCCCCTTTCTGGTCAAAGTATCCCTGCCTCTGCTTAATTATTTTTATCCCCGGTGGGGATAAATTTATCCCCCCCTCAAAGTGATCAGTGCTACTACAATAGTGGCGAGACGGATCACAAAACTTATCACGGGTCCGTGGTTTGATTAAAGTCAATTTTATTTTAAAATGCGCTCCTTCGGCTGGCTCTGGTATAGCGGCCGCAGCCTCTCTGTGATCACCTCTCTGCAGACTTGCTCAATGTCCCGCCCACGGCGCTATCTGATTGGTTACTCCTCACGAGTAATAGCCAATCAACACTTGCGAGACTGGGGCGTTTAGCGCGGCGCGGTAGACGCGAATTGACACAGATAATGCATCTGTCTTTTCTACCATTTCACTGTAGCTCAGCATCGCGATGTAACGTTAACGTTGTTACTTTAACAGCAGTACAACTGTTTCTACTGTGATGGTTTAACTTTGCAATCAATCCATGGTTCAGCAGACTGATAGAAGTAGCCTAGCCTAAACTAAGTAAAGCGATGTAATGTGAACTGTCAGTGCGATAGAACAATAAAATCCGAAAAGGACCACCCACTGGAAAGCTGCGGATTTTCCCACAGGAAAGCAGAAAAAGACTGTTTTCCTAGTATGATGCAAAGGCCTACACTATAGCCTATTTATGTTTAAGTTGACACTACGTTGTGACATTTAATTTTGCCATTCATAAATAAGTGTTTTGACATGTCAAGCCGAGTGGCACTATCCATGGTAGCTACTGGGAGGGGGATTTAATTATTGCGTGTTTTTTCATTGTGCGTGATCACAGTTCATATAAGCTATTAGAGTAAAAATATTGCGTTAGGCTATGAGTTAATAAGAAAAAAGATTTTACAATTCCTGCAAATGCAGTGATGAAGTTCATGTACTCGTGATTTATTTTTATGAATAAAACTTTTTCAAAACATCCCCCCCCTCTGTTTTTTTTCACAAATCGCACCCTGCCTGTAAGAGTAGGAAGAAAGAATTACACATATGTTTTGTGAATTTATTTTATTTCTGAAAGTTTTGTGAATGATCCAATCACAGTTGAGGTCAAAGTGGAAGGAAGTGAACAGAGAGCGTCGAAGGAGTGAGAGAAAAACGCGTGTGGTTTGCGGAAAGAGAAACACGGTTAATGTTAATGAAATTCACCAGTTTAGTCAAAGTGTTCAACCAGGACTCTTATACGAAACTTTAATGGTGATAATTCTGTCTGTGTGAGTGACCTACTCTGCACACGAAGACAGAAATAAGTTTAAGTTAGCCGCTGATATAGTGGTTAGTGTTTGTGCATGGACTTTTCTATAAGCTAGCGACCAGCGACCTCGATTAGTTAAGCCTGTGTGGAGCTGTGAGATCGACGATGATCAAAGACCCGGACGGAGCCGGATAGCGTTACCGAGTGGTGGACTTTGCCCAGATCGTCAACCATGTGACTCTTCTCTTCATCTTCTCTTCATCACAAATCTCGTCCTGTCTTCTGCTGCTGACACTTTGATCCGGTGTGTGTAAGATTACGTTCACATGCAGCAAAGGTACCATTTTTTGTTTGGCCTGTGTGGTGAAGCAGCCATTTGATTTGAGGCTACAACGTACCCGAGCTACATTCAGGCCTGCATCAGTTGAACATTTTGAAGGGTATTTCAGATTCAACTAGGGTTTTGCCGGCTATTTTATTTTCTTGGGCCCTTATGTTTTGAATGTGAATTTGAATCCATTTGTGATCTGATGTGATTTTGACCAGAGATATTTAATTACTCTTTCTAATTTTTCTGAGTAAATCTGTTATACTTTTTTCTATATAACAGTTGTGGTCACTGACTCTTTTGATATTTTTTAGTTAATTAAGAAAAATTGTTTTTTTTTGTTTTAAATGTGAAAGTGTTTACAGGACAATAATTCCAATACATTTAATTTCCAGTTAAAGTGTGTAAATATTACTGCTTAAATAGTGATTTAAAGGGAAAGAGTATTTCATATTTAGTTAGCAATTACTCACACACACAAGTTAAACACTGATTAGTTTATTAGTGAAACCTCACTTATTTGATTGTATTTAAAGAACGCAGGATAGCCACCTCTCATTATAGTCCAACACGCTAGAGAGGCGCTACATGTGGAAAGGTCCAGGCCAGTTATTTGACCTCGTAAAGGATTGCTTCATTATAAGTACAGCCCTAAACTCTGAAGACGGCCCCAATCAAACCCTATAAAAGGTTCTGTTTCCTGTGACTCGGGGCCGCATTTCAAGGTGAAGACCTATACACATTTCTGTTATTTTTTCCTTTTTTAATTTATTGTAGGGGTTAATTTATTTGAGAGGGGTTATAGCACTTACGTATTGTTGTCCTACTGTTAGTTTAACTGCTTCTATTGTTCTCATTTGTAAGTCGCTTTGGATAAAAGCGTCTGCTAAATGAATAAATGTAAATGTAAATGTATTGTCTTTGTATTATTCTGAAACTTTTTTTTAAGTAAAACAAAACCATTTTCTTGGTGATTCGAAAAACTTTCAAAACAAGTCTCAGAATAATTTTTTCCCTAGAAGTATCTTTACTTTGTTATAGTTTAGATATTAATACTAAGAAACTCCCAGTGAAACGGACCCGGGACTGAACTGGATCGGACACCGCAGAGGACCCTGAAACAGCTTCTAGCATCTCTAACCTGCAGGTAAGGGCCATCTATGATGGAAAAGGGTTATGGGAATGTCGTAGAATTGTTTAGAGGTTACAGTGGTTAGAAATACAACAAAAGCTCATTTCAAAAACAGAGGCTTGTGCATTTTACTATTAGTTTGATATCATAATGTCGTCTAGTTAAATTGTTTAATTAATTTATAGGGCTAATTAATATATATTTTTTTAATTTGTTGAAATTAATCCTTGTGCAAATCAAAGGACATTTGTTTATTACGGAGCCTCTAAAGACCCTATTATCTCACGAATATTGATCCGGGAAACACAGAACGTTCCCGCATGGTTCCCATGTGGTTATTTTTTTGGGAACCAAACAAGAACGTTCTGGGAACGTTCCCTGTAGGTTATTTTTAGGTTTAATTTTATAACCTAAGGAGAACGTTCTGGGAAACTTTCCTTTTGGTTATTTTTTTAGGTTCTATTTTTCTCAACAAACTAATTAAAAGGTTGCAAATGTTTTGTGCTTTAACAGCAGTGATCAAACGCTTAATGACATGACCATTATCCCAGCCAGCAATGACATGTGGGGCCCATATGAGGGCTTGATGGACGGCAAATGTGGGCCCCATTATGGGCTTGCACCCGGAATCCACATTGGGGCAAGCTGTGGAAGCCCAGACGTACTAAAAGTGGGACCTGTAAGGGTACTACATGGGTCTTAATTGGGCAATTCATGTCAGACCCATTTGGGCCCCACCTGCCCAAATGGGTCTTAAGTGGGCTTGCACCCGGGATCCAACCATGGTTACCCAGATGGGCTTTAAATGGGCTCTGCAAGAGTCTTATGTGGGTCCTAAGTGGGAAATTCATGCCAGACCCATTGGGGCCCCATCTGCCCAAAGGGGT